ACAGCGGGGCCCCCAGCAGGGCCCCCAGCAGCAGGGTACCCTTCAGGACCCCGAGCAAGGGGCCCCCCTTCAGGGCACGGCGGAGTGGGGCCTCCAAGAGCGGGGCCCCCAGCAGGGCCCCAAGAAGGGCCCCCAACCGCGGGCCCCCCCGCAGGGCCCCCAGCACCATCGCGTCCTTCAGGGCCTCCTTCAGGGCCCCCCGCAGCAGGGCCCCCTTCTGGGCCCCCAGCAGCAGGGCCCACCTCAGGGCCCCCAGCAGCAGGGCCCCCTTATGGGCCCCCCGCAGCAGGGCCCCCTTCAGGGCCCCCCCCAGGGCTCGGAGCAGCGGGGCCCCCAGGGGCGGGGCCCTCAGCAGGGCCCAAAAAGGGCCCCCCCACTGTGGGGCCCCCAGCAGGGCCCCCAGAGGGGTTCTCAACCGCGGGCCCCCCAGCAGGGCCCCCAGCAGCAGGGTTCGCAACAGTGGGGCCCCCAGCAGGGCCCTCAGCAGCGGGGCCCGCAACAGGCCCCCCAGCAGAGCTTCGACGGGCGGGGCCCCCAGCAGGACCCCCAGCCGGGCCCCCCGCAGCAGGGCCCCCAGCAGCGGGGCCCCCAGCAGGTCCTCCCCCCGCAGCAGGCCCCCCCACAGGGGGCCCCCCAGCAGGTTCTCCCGCAGCAGCGGGGCCCCCAACAGCTGAGCCCCCCGCAGCAGGGCCCCCTGGCGCAGGTACCGCAGCAGCAGGGCCCCATGGAGGGCCCCCAGCAGGGCCCCCAGCAGCAGGGGGGCCCCCTTGAGGGCCCCCATGAGGGGGCCCCCCTGCAGGGCCCCGGTGTTTCCTCTTCTTCTTCTTCTGAGTTAGTGCGCCTGCTGCAGAAGCCGCCAGGGAAGGGGGGAGAGGGGGCAAGGGGGGATAAGTGGTGGCGGTCGGGGGGGATGGGCCCCTCAAAGCGTTGAGTGGTTTAGGGTTTAGGGTTTAGGGTTTAGGGTTTAGGGGTTAGGGGTTTTGGTTGTTTCTATGCATTTCTGTTGGTGGGTGGGGTTAAGCAACAACAAAGAAAAAAAAACGAGAAGAAAAAGAAAAGAAAAAGAAAAGGAACAGAAAAAGAAAGGGGAAGAATATATATATATACATATACATGTATATATATATATACATATATATATATATATATATATATATATATATATATATATATATATATATAT